CCCCACTGTACTGCCCTGGTTCCACCCTTCCCAAAGGACAGCGCAGCCATAAATATAAAAACATTCATAGTCCCTGAAAGGTTCATACTATTCACCCAGTAGCTCATCTTGAGGGAAATAAGCCTAGAGAAATAAAAGAGCTACCAGCAAAGATTTGCAAACTAGAATTCACAGAAAAATGTTCACCGTAAAGGCAATAGTTAAATAAGTTATGTAATATCCATACCAAAAGTATTATGTAGCGTTAAAAGAACGTGCAATAACATGAGAAAACACTTATGATATAATGTGAAGAAAAGAAAGTAGAGTACAAAACTAAGTAAAATGTATATCACACTCAAAGAATTGCAAAGAAAAATGGGGGGAAACTTCACCCCAATGTTAATTCTCTGTATGATGGGATTTAATTTAATTTAAATTTGGTTTTCTTCATTCTTTTGTTGAAATTTTTAGATTTTCTATAGGGACTGTATTACAGTTTATAATGAAAATGCATAGATTTGTTGGATGAAATGGACTTCATCTCATCCACTTCAGGAAGTGGATGGGTCTGGAGCCAGATATCACATTTATTCAAAAAACAAAAGCCCAGAAAGAAATTTGAGAGAGAAAAATACCACAATATAAAGTGGTTATTCCTGGCTGATAGGATTATGGGTGATCTTTTTCCTACTTCTTCATAATTCTATGTTTTTCAAACTTTTTACTTAGAGATTTCTTTGAAATTGGCAGATAAACAGACAAATCATAAAATATTCCTGCATATTTATGACTGTTGCAGGCAGGGAGTTACTCTTGGCAGCAGAGATCCCGATTTTCTCACTCCTCTGTCCCTATTCTGGTCTTTGTATCTGTACCTCTGGCCACCATGATGACAGATACTAAAGGATGTTTTGTTTTGTTTTGTTTTTCTAAACAAAATCAGTTTGTCTTGAATCAGTTAAACCTGAAGAGCATGAAATTAGGACTCTTTTGTAGCTTATGAAAAAACGGTGTGGCTCAGTTCTTTATTTTAAGAGTAGGAAAATTTATTAGGGGAATGGGAACGGGGAATAGGAATAGCTCCTGAGAGACAGGAGGGGTTCCAAATGGGTTGCCCATTCTTGAAACCTGTTTTCTACCAGTTTGCCAAGTTCAAGTCGCCTATTGTTGTATTAATTGAGGCATACATACCTGTAGTCAAGACAGTCCTGAGCTAGGTGGCACATTCTGCTCTCGACACTTGATCTGAACTGTCTTGTCACTTCTTTCTGCAGAGCTGGTTACTCACTGACTTGGAAGTTCACAACGTCTCCAAGTATCTTTGCAAGACTCACATTTTCTAGATGGAGCTGCCTTGGGTCCCTGGTAGATTTACCACCTGTGAGCCTTCACCCCTGTTCAGGTCACTGTCTTACGTATTCTTCCAACCTTGCTCCCCAAGGCCTCCCTTCCCCTGGTCTGTGTAGTCCAAGAGACTTGGAACTGAAGCCTCTGTGCACTTGAGCTCATGGCTGCACCTCCCGCAGCTTTCTCTCTCCCCTCCTCTGTGAAAGCAGAACAGAACACCAACTTGGCCCCACTGCTCAGAGGATTAAATGAGACAAATTTGTACTTAAAGCCTTGCACACAAAATAAGATTACTTCCTTTTCCGGCATCTTCCACCTTTACTGCTTCAGACGCTTTCTCTAGTCTGCTTTCACATATGTGTTATGGCCAAATTCAGCACGTCACTAGATCCTTATGGGGCTGGCAAGCCCTAGTAGCTTTAAGATGGGCTTGGTCACTGAAAAGACCAAGGCAGGAACAGAAGATTGGGACTTTCAGCCCTTCTCCTCAATCTCTAGGAAGGACAGGACAGCTGGAGATTAAATTGGCCAACGACCTAATCAAATATAATGAAGCCTCCATAAACTCCCAAAAGGACAGGGTTCTAAGAGCTTCTGGGTAGCTGGACATGTGAGGTTCCTAGAGGGTACGTGAGCTTCTCTGCCTCTCCTTCAATTCCTTGCTCTAGGCATCTCTTCATCTGTAGCTTGTCTAATATCTTTTACAAGAAGAAGTATTTTCCTGAGTTCAGGAGCCATTCTAACACACTGATGGAACTTGAATAAGGGTTTGTGGATCCCTGGATTATAGCTGGTCATTCAGAAGCACAGATAAAACAACCCAAGGCTTGCAGTTGGTACCTGAATGGAGCAGTAGTTTTGGGGACTGGACCCTCACCTTGTGGGATCTGACACTATCTCTAGGCAGTGTCCAAACTGAAATGAGTTAGAAGACACCTGGCTGGTGCCTGGGGTGGAATTGCCGGCTTGCTTAGCGAATGGGGAAACCCCACATATCTCCTCAGATATGTGTTGTGAGGATATCATGGGAGGTACCAAGTTTGACTTTTTCCTATGTCCTCAAAAGGGATCAAAGTCATTAGCCCCATTTTACATGACATGGAGGCACAGGGAGGTGATGTTACCAGAACATTTCCCACCTGCTTTCTGCTTAGCCTGCCTGAATTCTCCTCTTTTACCCAGGAGCCCTCCAACTTCACAGAAAGTGACTCTTCTGAAACCAGGAAGACAAATAAAGGAAAATTCCCACTGTGGCCCACATCTCTGGAGATCTCTTATTTCTTTAGATTCATATGTGTTTTTGATTAGAATGCCTCAAGCCCCTCCTGAAAGAGCCAGCACATGTGAATTTCCTATTTACCAAGGTACAATGGTTTGTGGTCACTAGGATGATGTTAAACCTCTTTGGGGATTAGATTCTCTCTGGTATGTTTTTCTTTCTTTTTTGTCTATATACTCATGTTCATTGCAGCACTGCTCACAACAGCCATGATATAGAGTCAGCCTAGATGCCCTACAGAAGACAAGTGGATAAAGAAACTGTGGCATATAAACACAGTAGAGTATTATTCAGCCATAAAGAAGGATGGAATCATGTAATGTACAGCGTCATGGTTGGAACTGGAAGACATCATGCAGAGAGGAACAAGCCAGACACACAAAGCTAAGAATTGCGTGTTCTACTTGGAAACAATTCAAGAAACCATCTCCAAAGGAACTAAGCTCTTGAAATGGTTTTGGGGGGGTCCACAGTTAGAGCACTTCCAGGGGTTTTGCCCACTGTCTCCTTGTGTATCACAGCAGTAAGGGAATCAACGGTGGGCTCTGGATCAGTCTTCACGTCTGGGAGATGCAGTCCCAGGAAGTATCTCATGGAGGGGGTCTTGCAAGTGATATGAAGGCCACCTGCAGGATTGCAGGCTTGTGTTCAAATCCGTATCCTCCAATGCTGGGGAATGGAGCTCAGGGCACCGGCTCCTACAGCAGCACCTTGGGCAGCTAGAGGGCGCACAGGCCATCAGCTCCGTTCCTCATGCACCATCTGTGCCACCCAGCCCCAAGCTGCCCCACCCACATCCATCTGTAGACTCCGTGCTGATCCTGCTCTGGGCTCCACCTTCCCTGGTCACACTCTTACACTCTTCAGTATTTTTTTTCTACTTTGGGGATTCTTAAACATTTCAAGGTTGCTTTTTTTAAAAAAAGCTTAATTCATCTGAGGTCATTCTACCTTATTTCCAAGAAAACAAGCACAGTGTAAGTTAATAAGTGGAAGATGAGGTCATGAATAACCAGAAGAAGTGAGGTTCAGGAAGAAAATTATAATCACCACTCCAGTGTGTGACCTTAGGCAAGTTTAAGTCTCAGTTTTCCTCCTCTGTAAAATGAGGATAACAAGTTCTACCTCATGAGTTTCCCAGGGACTACTCAATGAAACATTTGCGCAAAGCCAGGAGAATTCCCGTACGTGCTGAACATTTGGTTATGCACAAAAAGAATAATCTCTTCGAGGGGAAATAGTCCCAGGTTCGCTTGCTTTTCAGTCACTGATGGTATTTGGGCTTCAGTTTGGCCTGGAGAAGAGAAGCAGCACAGGAGGGCAGAGGGGCTTTGGAAGTGTACATGAGGGCCGCTCTCCTTGCAAGTTATAAACCTGCAGCTAGACCCTTCCACACTGTGCTGTGCACTGAAATGCATTCCAGATGCACTAAAGAATTGAATATTTAAAAAAAATCAAGCCATGGAAGGGGAAAGACTTGAATATTTATCAGATCTCTGGGGAGGAAAGGTTGGTTAAACTTAGAAGCACCAGAAAAGATCACAAGGAAAGAGATGGATAGAGTTGATGGCAGAAAAATTTAGCACATCTGCACATAAAAAAGACAGAGAAATGTATGCAGCAATATGAGAGGCATATTATTACATATATTCTGTGTATGTCTGTATATATAGGTGCATGTAATTATACATGATGTATCAGAAAGTTATGCAGGCCCTACTAGGTAAGTGAACAAAGAATTCAAACAGATAATTTACAAGTGAACAAATACACTTGGAGAGCAAAGAGATGAATCAACCTCATTAGCAATTATAGAAATGAGTTACTACTTTTTTATTGCTGATTATCACTGATAATAATGAATAAGTACTAACAATGACATGTCATGTTAAAGAAGGTAGAAGTGGAATTATTACATATATACTTTGGTGGTAAGAAAGTAAATTGATCTAACACTTTTGAAAAAAACTTAAGCATCAGGCGTTGTAAAAACTCAAGTTTTCTAGTATACAGTTTGAGAAAAAGTGGAGAAAAATAAACCTAGACTTTCTACATTAAATCATGTACAAAGTGGGCACTGAGTGGATTAAACATCAAAATATGACAGGTAAAAATAGAAGCTAGTTTCAGGAAATTAGGCAGTGATCTCACTTTTGTACCTATCAGCCATAGAACCTTGGATAGAACAATTTGCCCTTCTGAGCCTCAGTTTTCTCATCAGTCAAATGGGAATTTTAATGGTCATTTTTACAAGGATATATATATGTATATGTGTATATATATCCTTGTACATATATATGAAAATATATGGATATATGTGTAGTATATATATACATATATATAGCGTACATATGGATACATAGGTGTAGGATATATACATATAAAGCCTAGCTATATGGCACCTGACGCAAGTAAGTGTTTTTGATAGATTATTCATTTCCTCTGGGGATACTGCTAAGTCACCTTTCCTGGTCTCTCCTGTGGTGATTATGGCCATGTACCTGAGTTCCACTTACTGGCAAGTGAGACAAGGAGGTGGATGCACTTCCAGGGCCAACCCTGCAGAATTCCATATTCTCTTTCCTCACACTGAGCCACTGTCACAGCTCTGTGTTAGAGAGAACCTGGAGTGTGCACCTTGCTGTTAGGACTAACGTCTTCTGACTGTGGGCCCAGGGACAGAGGTGGTGCAGCAAGATGGAAGGAATCTGGACCCCTGAATCCCCCACCTGGAAGGTAGCCTTGCTAAGACTCCTGATTAACATTTATGTGATAAGATAGACACTTCTATTGGGTTAAGCCACTGTGATCTGGAGATTATTATAGCAGCCAGCAATTCCTATCCTAACTAACACAGTGCCCGATGAGTATTATGCAACTTGACCAACAAATTCCACTTGTGGGAACCTAATAATGGAGGTTCATTAAATGTGGTGCCTGATGGAGCCCCTTGGGGGTGGCCACGGAGTTTCTTAATCTGGTCACTAACCAAAACTGCACATTGGAAGATTTCCAGAGAAGTGGCTGACAGAAAGATGGATTCTGCTGGTTGACTTACAGTTCTCTTCTAAATTGTTGATGTTGGGTCTTGCGCATTCTGAGGTTGGGATTGGCTAGAGTGTTTTGACTAGACTAGAGCTCAAAAAATATTCAAAGGATAAGCCAAAATAAAAGAAGAAAAGGCAAAATATGGAAGTAATCAGGTTGTCTATACCAGCTGATAATAGTCCGTCCCTGGGCACACAGCCAGAAAACGTTAGTCGTGCCAGCAAGGCGCACACTCCAGGTTATCTGCTAACACAGCGCTGTGACAGCTGGCTCAGAGGAGGTAGGGTGCAGCCTGCAGGGGCAGTGAGATGCAGTCATTCATCTGACCATGCAAAAAAAAAAATTTAGGGCAGTGTTATTTACATAGGGAAAAACTTCCACAGCAACTGAAATGCCTGTCAGATACTACTGGTTCCTGCCCAGCAGCTGTTGCCTCTTCTTCCTTAGAAAACAGGGTCTCAAGTACCTTCTGGCCCCCAAAGTTGAATCATGATTGTTCTAAGCCAGTCTTGGACTTTCTGTTCCTTCTTGTCACTGACTGATCTAGGATAGACACATGGTCCACTTCTGGCCAATAATATGTTAGTGAAAGTTTATCAGGGCTCTCTTTCAAGAAAGATAAAAAACAAGAACAGTCTCGAAAGTGGTCGTTTCTCCTACACCCCTTCCTTTTCATTCTAGACTCTGAAGACAAAGATATGATTCCCTGGGATGGTGCAGCCATCTTGCCACCATGAGGGTAAAGTCAAACAAATAGAGACACGTGGCTGAGAGTTATTGAATCACTGAAGCAACTTAAGAGCTTGTCATATGAAATAATTACATATTTACTATTCATATTTAGTTGTTCTGCTGTAAGTTTCTCTGTGGTGCTATTACAGTTAGGTTGGTGAAAGAATCTTTAGAAAAGCTTAACGGATAGATCGAGAGTTACCTAGGAATGGCCCCTAACTCTCATCTGGGGAACTCTAAAAGCAAAAGTCTGGTTGGCCTGTCTCTGAGGACTCATGAGAGAGAGACCAGCTTTTCTAGGAGTGACCAGCCCTTCCAAAGATTGGCAGGGCAAAAAAAAAAATGCTGACATGGAGCAGAGCCTTCTGGGAAGGACCCTATCAGGGCAAGAGGGACCCAGGAGGAAGTCTCTGTGTGGTATCGGGACACTTTAGGAGCTGGCAGTGGGACTGTACATTACCAGCCAGGGACTGTTCCTTAAAACAGAAAGTGGAAAAAATCAAGGGTCCCCATGGGGAGGCCTCTAAAGCACCCATGAAAGAGACAGCCAGCATTTTTGAGATAACTCAACAGAAAGTATGACAAACACCAACCCCCCCGCACCCCGGCACCTTGGAAAACGTACTTTGTGGACTTCAGAGGCCACAGGGCCTCCTGGTCTTCACTGCTTCTCCCCGTGTGACATCCCCTTGCTCCCTGCAGCGCCAAAGGAGCCAGAACATGTCTAGTGAGTGGGGACAGAGTATGGAGAAAAAAGGAGGCGGTGAAAGGAAGATCAGCCGTGTCTGCGCGTTGTTTGCCAATGCTCTCTTAATTCCAATCCACTCTTCTGTCATCGGCCTTCTCAGTTGACTTTCTGTCACTAAAAGGCACGAGTAGGAGGTCAGAAAAGAAGCAAAAGAGGTAAACAGACTGATTGTCCTGTTATGGAAAATAAAAATCAAACGGGGTAGCATCGGTTCTGGGCACTTAAAATGGGGTTGGAAGGCCACTATTTTTTGTTTTTTTCTTTTGTTTTTTTGAGACAGGGTCTCCTATGCAGTTCAGGCTCACCTTGAAGAACTCACCATGTCGCCTAGGCTGACATCAAACTCACAGTGATCCTCCTGCTTCAGCCTCCCAAGTGCTGGGATTACAAGTGTGCACCACCGAGCCCAGCATAGGAAGCCATTGTTAATCAGATCTGAGATGTGTGGAGGAGTTGAGTTTGGGAGGCAGTCTGAGCTAAGCAGCACAGCCCAGCTCCACATGGGAGTCACCGTTGTCACAGGTAACCTCTGCTGACCCTCTGCACAAGGGGCCCCTCCCCCACACTACCTAGACACGGACACCACACCCAACCCCTTTCTTATGAGACAATTTAATTTCTGCCACCACCAATCATATTCCTGACTAACAAGTGATATAATTGCCAACTCCTTTGAGGTTTAAAGCTATAAATACAGCCACCATTTCACAAAACCTCAGAGGACATTTTTAAAATTGTTTGAATAGGTTTTCCCAGACTGGAGTTCTAATTAGCCCCAAATAAATTTTCTTTGTTTTGACTCGGTTGACAGGTCCCTCTCTCCCTCCCTCTCTCTCTTCCTCTTCCTCTCTCTCTTCTTCTCTCTCTCTCTTTCTCTCTCTCTTCTTTTCTCTCTCTCCCTCTCTCCTCCCACAACAACGTCTAGAGAAGTGGCTGCATCTCTTCTAAACTGCCAGCTTTGGGGCCTGACTTCTCCTCAGCGCTCCCAGCTCTCAAGATGACAGTGATTGCTTCAAGCCTGTAGAATAGACTCTAATCTAATCTACTCTATTTTCTATACTAAACTTCCTCTCTTGGAAATACTTGGCACAGTTTGTGTTTTCTGAACTGAAAACTGATTGATATATCCTTCTTCCAAAGGGTTGATCTAAGGAATTCTTAATTCTCAGAACTAGGGCGAGAAAAGAACTTTTAAATGGATGAGAGGTTACATTTTAATATTAGATGTTGCTGAGTATTCAGTGGCTGAATAATCCTATGCCATAAGGCCTGAAAGGGATTAGGATGCCCAAGATAGCACCTAGAGGCAGTTCGGAGATAGAACAGAACAGGTTTCAAAGGAACTCCTCATTCTAGTCATACTATAAAATGACACAGAAAATCATTACAGTTGGGATCTACCTGGATGAATGAATAAATATACAAGGGCATACGTGAAGAGCCAACATGCTGGGTATTCAGTGTTTTGAGAAGCAAAGAAAAGCTAGAGGATAGTTGCAGATTGAACATGTAATGACCAAATGCAATGTGGTCTCCTGGGTTGCATCCTGGGACAGATGGCATTAGTGGGAAAACGTGAAATCCAAGTCAAGCCTATGTATTGTGAGTAGCTGAGTTAACAGCATCGTATCAAAGGACATGTCAATGCTCCTATGTGGACAGCTGTCACATACATTAGGGGAAGTTGGGGAAGGGATATATGAGAGCTCTCTGCACTGTCCTAATAACTCTTTGGCAAATCCAAAATTATTCCAAAATAAAATGTCCACATGAATAAATGCTAAATAAGAACAACACCTAGGATTATCCAAGAGGTTTACTAAGCTAATGAGAAAACTGAAACCAGAAATAGAAGACCAAGTAACTTGGGAGCAGAGACAAGGAATAAATACCTAATCAGGACCCAGGGGAAGAGGAAGCCAGCTTTGGACAATCTTTGGTTCCTTGTTTGCAAAGTTGAAAACTCAAATGTCACAGTGGCCTTAGCAGCACTCTAGATCTGGCTAAAGTGGCCTGCAACCTTCAGTTCCATGGATTGGAACAGATTAGAATTTTCTGGGATGCCTGCAAAGTTACAGAGGTTTGAGGCCACATCATTTGTCATGCTGCTTGGCTTCCTGTGGTATGGGGTCTAATGGTTTTACACACATACTGTGCACACACACACACACACACACACACACACACACACACACACACAGAGGAGCTGAGTGGAGGGTCTGAAAAGAGTAGGAAAAATAACCAACACCAGCTAGGCTCCATTCCCTCCCTGGCTCCTCCACTCTACTCTCTCCATCACATCCTTTCCCCTAGGTTGTATCTGGAGACCCTCACATCTTCTCCCTCTGCTGTGTGGGGCGATCTGTCTCCCTCTTTGCAGCTCAGATGTTTATGGCCCTCAAGATGGATACCAACTCGAGCCCAGTGCATAGTAGCACTCAATTCCCTTCCTAGGAGAAGTTTGGACACCAGCTACTGAAGTGCCATTTGCTTTAGCTATCTTTACGCATCTGTGAAGTCTGCACTGTCTCGTGGGCCCCTTACGGCCATAGCTTTGATCCACTCTGTCTGGACAGCCTTGTGGCTGGAGTCAGTTGGGAAAAGCCTGGCAACGTAATTACTGGCTCACGACAAAACACTGATATTTTAAGTGAGCTGGGTTAAAATTATGCAACATAGAGTCTATTTAAGGCTAGTCCTATGCCAATGTCATCCTCTCATTTGCATTCTGACATGCTTGCTTGAGTGGAAGGGAAAAGGGCAAAGTGTGAAGCTGCGCACAGCTAGCCTGTGGGAAGCACCATGAGAGAACGCCACCGTGTGACAACCTCATCTCATGGACACCAACAAAAAACTAGTTAAGAATTGCTGGGTCAGAAGATCAAGTGAGCTCTTCGCACACTGTTATGTGCTAGAGTGAAGTCAGAGACTGAAGCTCATACTTGGCTTGGAAGAGCATGCAAAGGTGAGTTGGCTTAGCCCACAGCTCCTGCCATTTTACAGATAGGGAAACAGAGACGTAAGGTAGAAGTGATGTACCCAAGCTCATACCATCGCCCAGGACTGAGCCTTACCCTCATCCCCAAACCTTAGAGCCTCTCTTTATGCTGAAAACACTTAGATGCAAATGAAAAGGCCACTGAGAGGGCCCAGGGGCTGATGACATAGATTAGTTTTTCCCTGGACTTTTTAAGAATGTTGGACTGGTGGCTTCTTAATTCCTCAGAGAGGGCATTGATCTGTAACACTTTCATTCTCTCTTGTCGCTAGAGTGTGTCTTGTTTGACGATTTTAGCCCACAGCACTGGGGCCATGAGTTACATAGCAGCAAGGAACCTGGTGCAAGAGCTTGTGGCACTTTCCCCTTTTGCTCTGCTCGAACCAAGATACCTCAGTCTCTCCCACCTTACCACTCCAGAGCTGTTGTTATTGTCATGTATGATGATCTTGACTTAGATTATACATTTATTGAGGGCAGGCACATGTTCCAGCCAGCCCAGCTCCAGGGGGAAGGATGCCACCAGTGGTTCATAAAAGTTGGGACCTGACACCGAGGCACACTAGTCTCTGACCTAGGTTGACCAGTTAACCAAAGCAGGCCCTGCTTTCCTATGCTGTGAAACAGGGAGAGGGGAGCTGCAGCTCTCCCAAGTGACTGGTGAATAACGAGCACCCAGGCACAGTCTGTGCTTGCCCAGGAGGACATCAGCTAGGGCTCACCGCTTTGCTGCTTCTGAGACAAGAATGTTTCTCTACCTCCACAGGTGCATGGACTCCTTCTCTGTCCTCCTCCTCCTCCCTCCAAACAATACCTCCTGAGAGGTGAAGGCAGCCCAGACCTTTTGTGTCCACAGTGTACTTCTGAAGTGGGGAGGAAGAGCACATGAAACACCTGGAATTGTTCTGTGAGAAACTGCCCAGTTTGGACTGCCACCTTCCTCTCTCCAAGGACAGCTGGGCTCCCCCCATGCCCATGTCATAAACTCGTGCCTTGCAATCCATTGTGAGGTAACTGGCCCAGCAATTGGTGGTGAGCCTTATCTCATACTAGTGGCTGTCACATTAGATTCCATGAAACGTGGCACTTTAAGCTACTAAGGGATTTGCCAGCACGTGTAACTAAATTGCAGAGAAAGTCATGGGACTCAAGAACGTGCTTTTTCTCCATTTCCTTTTCAGTCTATATCCTCTGTCCCTGCAAGGGTTCTCTGCCTGGAGCAAGAGTTCATGGCACTTTCCCATTTGTTCCTCATCAAGTCAAAATACCTCAATCTCTCCCACATTACAGCTCCAGAGCTGTCACTATTGTCATTCATGACACCCTTGTCTTAGACTATATATTTATTGAGGGCAGGAATATGTTCCTCTCTTTCTTTTGAGATGGAGGACTTCCAGTGCCATGAGGAGTCACTAAATTCCTCTAGAAATTACTAAAATCTAACACTGATCACATGCTTGCCAGCTGTCAGGCAGAGCTCTAAGTATATTGCTTCTATTAGGTCATGTCATTCTTAAAGCCACTGGATGAGGTCGATGCTGTTATTATTTCCGTTTTACAGCTGAGGAAACTGAGGCACAGGGAGTGGGATAATTTGCAAAGTACGTAACCAGGAGAATCAGAAGCCATGCAGGCAACAGGCCTTCAGCATCCACACCCTCAGCAGCCACCAGAGTCTGCCTAGGAGGCTGCTCTGAGTGTTCTTTCTGGAGTCCAGGCGCCTGCTACAGGCTGGTGCCAGAAGAGCGAGTAGATGGAATCTTTCACAGACTTCATTTTAACTCTTAACACAGTAGTTACTGTTTCTTGGCACTGGTCTATGAACTTAAATTGCATCATCTCACTTTTCTTCTAAAAAGCCCATTTTGGAGATAAGGAAACAGAGAGGGTAAATAACTTGCCTAGAGACACACAGGTAGGACTGTGGGAGCAACAGTTGTAATTCAAGTCTGCTTGACTCCAACACCTGGGCTGCTAGCTATGCACTCCTCCCCAGAGTGAGGAACCTCAGATCTGAGTGTGGAGTGAGGGTGTGCAGGCTGGTGAGAGCCTTTGGGAAGGTGGATTGTCCTCTGCCTGCATCCTTGCCCACACACCCCCTAAGACTCACCATGGCCTTGGGGGCAGGCCAGGAGGAGCTGCCCAGTTCCTCCCACGATCCTCAGCTCCTCCCAGCCCTGGGCCTCTAGAGTCCGGGAACAGTGCTGCCGCCCTTTCCGGTAACTGTGGCCGTGTTTGTGTGAGCTGTCCCCGCCCTGGACTGCACCCCTGCCATGATTGTAAATGATTTGCATAGGGCTGACTCCACTGGACCAGTGTGTAGTCCTAACGCTACCTACCATTTATTACACATCTAGTGGCAGCCAGGCATTGTGCTCAGGGCAGTGGGGTAGACTGCATTCATTCTCTGTAGTGACGCTTTATAATGAGCTTTTGGGATCCTGGGACTTGAGCGGGTAATACAAGGAACTTGCCAAGACTACAATCAGCAAGGGACAATTCCAGGACTCAATCGTGGGTCCGACTGACTTTAAAGCCCATGACTTTAATGCC